GTAGGCAAATTTCTGACACCTAGTGCAACAAGAGTTTACCAGCCTACTTTTTCTTTTTCACCACTACGACAGCCTCTAACTCTTTCAGCTTCATCAGTTATCATAAAAAAACATCCTCGCATCATGTGAAAAGCCTTCATTCCCTTAGTTCACTGCCGATATCAGATAACCAGCCCACAACCTTAAAGGTGTAAGTGCTGTAAGGCTAAGCTATCCGAGGCCGAGAGGGTAAAAAGCCGCCTCGGCAGCATACCGCATAGCGCACTCGCCAGTTTTCCATCAATTGCGGTCGCCTACCTGCTTCCACAATTGCTGGAGAAAGGCCTGGTGTCGCACCAGGTCCAGCTTCCCCAGCACTGCAGCGATGTTCGTGCATGAGGAGTCAGACGTGTCACCCCAGCTTGATAAAGAGGTATACGCAAATAGGAAGGGTACCTACAGGCCTGACTCCGCCCATCTCGTCTGCGTGAACTGTGTCTATAAGCTTATTGCAGAAGGTGGCAATGTGAAGGAACTAGATTTGTTCCTCGGAAAGTCGAACTCTTCTGATCTTCTTCCACGCACAGACGTATTTCACATGGGGTTGGTCTTACGAGAGTTTGGTCAGAGCTTTCTTCGTGATGATTTCAAAAGTTTTGCCCACCATCCTTGAGCACTTGTTTGTATTTGTTTGCTTGTTTGTTTCCATTCAACACATTCTGTGTCGAAGTTCTTGACTTCCTGCGCAAGAAGTAAGGCAGAATAAAATTTTACCTTCACGTCGTGCTTATTTTAGGTAGTTCAATCTACGCCATGCTTGGACGACTGCTGCTCATAGCATCCTTGCATATTCCACTAGTTGACGCATTCGACTGGGGAGACTTCCATAAGGTGAGAGAAGAACACGTTCATAGAGAAAAGACTTTTTTGGTAACCCGTTCATCGGAACATGAACGCAAACTGGCGATTTCGCTTCTTGTTTCAAGGTTTGCGAACAGAAATTGCCGCTGCGTGCTCGGGAGGGTCGACTTTCTAGAGAGTCTAAGCCAGGTCATTTCTGACGAGACAAAGCCATGTCGGTGCTGCCTAGAAGAGAGGGTGACATGTTCTAACATTGGCCAAGTCTTGATGCCTTGGGAAGAAGGCAGACACCACGTGCATTACCCCCGCTAGGAAGTGGTCTCCCCCAGGACGTATAGCGCCCAAAATTCCGACTGTTTTCGTAATCTTCAAAAAATCATGTCCAGCAATCAAGGAAAAGCCACTGAGAGCCTAAAATCAGCTTAACTGCTGTGTTCCTTGTAAACTCTACGAAGGTACGGTACGGTTGGATGAGGGAAATTCATAACTAAAGTACCTCACTAAGCAGTGCACTGCTCCTCATAATACGGTGAGGGGAAGCGAAATAATGACGAAGGTTGAACTATTGTGAATCTTCACACATCTTTGTATCAGTCTGAGAATCCTAATATTAAGCTGCTTATTTAATTTTTTCGTGGGTACCATTTGGACAAATGATTTGGAAAAAAGTACCAAGTTAGTGGCCACGGAGCAAGAAACCAGTTCTGCTAGAAGTAATGTGGTATAAGAGATTGCAAAGGAAGTGTAGCTCAGCGTCATCGGCATAAACGTGCACGACGCTGCCCTAAAAAGGTCTTAGTGATGTGACTTTCCTTTGAAACGATTTTTCAAGGGTGGCTGTAATCTTCTTCTCATTCTTCGGACCGATGGTGATTCTCGGAAGCAATCGCCCCTAGCTGCTTATTTCGCTTGCATCCGATCTTGGTATGTGTGACTTTGGTATGCAAGCCGATCAGGGGACAGCATCACGTTGGTAGAAATTTGGAAATGTTTATTGACCCCTCGCCCCCCGCCCCTCCCTGCTTTTCCGTAATTCTCACTTCGCTGATCGTGCGCAGATATGTATGTCAAGCGGGTAGCCGGGTATGGAGGCTCCGACTTTCACAAATGTAGCGCACGAGTCTCCGACAAGTAAAGCGGATCGTGGTATTGTAAGTTTTGCCCGAGAGAGACCGGCTTAGAGTGGGAGGAGAGATGGGAAAGTTTATCGCGGGAGGGGAGCAATTCCCGCCGTTCCTCAGGGCGGCCAAATGGTCCACAAGGGGGGGGCCGTCCGTTAAGGTTGTAACGGGCTGCTATGGCTGATAAAGGCGACAGCCACTTCGGGAAGGAATCTTGTCGTCGAAGTTGTCATAATACGCCTAGCCCGAGCTTTTCTTTTCAAGAATTTTAGGTACGAAAGTCCGTTTTCGAGAGGAAGTTGTTCAATGAGTACTCAATCGAATCCGTTCCATCCGTGGCCACCTGGTTCAGCTAAATGGCAACTTCAACAATACCGTGAGTTCACACAGGCCACTACCAGTACCAGTACTAGATCTAGTCATTTGAAAATTAGGAGCTAAATAAAAATTATTCCAAAATTTAGTGAAAGGCAGCGGTCCACCTCCGACTAAGCAGCTGAAGGCGACTCCGCCACCAGTGATCCATAAACAAGTACCAAGTCCCATCTCACCAGGACATCTCATCTCACCAACACCCTCTCGCTATAGTAAAGTAGGTGAATTGTGGAATGAAGTTAAGAGTTTTTCTATTATATTCAACATCTATTGGCTCTATTGGTTTCTTGGGGTACAAAAAGCGATGTTGGCTTGAAAAATTAGCGATGTCTCAAGCAGTAATACTCTGCCAGGAAGACTATCCGGGGTCTTTCCATGCCAGACAAGAAAAGTTGCCATTGAATTTTCAAAAAATTCTTGAAGAGATGTCCATTCAATTATCTAACCATGACTCAACAACTCAACTCGTATACAGCAAACTATTTTTCTCTAAGAAATCTCTAAGAAAATCCCTATTTAATCTGGAACTCTTGTTCAAGTATTAAGTTATCCCCGTAAATTGATGGTACTCAGCAGTAATTCTCATGCTACTACACAGAGTTTTGATGGCAACTAGCGCACTTCCTGCTCCTGGGGTAAATTTCGGGGAAGTACGACCTGCCCTCCTCCAACGATGACCAAATGCGACGCTACCCCTTTACCCACTGGAGTTCTTCCAACAATGTGCATAGCGAAACTGGAAGAATCAACTATCAAAAACGTTTTCCTCATTTCAAATAAAACTGCCCTTGCGGGATTCCCATGGCATGGCGTACTCTGATGGTACCTCGCGTTCGTTGGCGTTACAACGCCTAACCATAAGAGATAAGTTACTGGTTCGATCTTTGTCCGAGACGAATCTCCGCTTCTTTCCTAGCCCCTTGAGTTCTGCTTATTGTTAGCACGTCACAATAAGAAAAT